CCCAGCATTTGAAATCATGCAACGAGCCCTTTCCAAAAGAGTTCTATTCATCCTTTCTGCCACACCATTTTGCTGAGGTGTCATTCTCACAGTACGATGTCGAGCAATTCCTTCATTCTTGCAAAATTCGTTGAATTCATCATTACAAAATTCCAAGCCATTATCTGTTCTAAGCCGCTTAACCTGTTTTCCTGTTTGCTTCTCAATCAAAACTTTCCATTGTTTGAAATTTAAGAAAACATCACTTTTATTTTTCAGGAAATAAACCCAAACTTTCCTTGAATAATCATCAATGAAAGTTAACATATACCTGGCACCACCTTTTGATGGGGTACGTGAAGGACCCCAAAGATCTGAATGAATGTAATCCAAAGTACCTTTTGTTCTATGAATCGCTGGAGATTTGAAGCTGACTCTTTCCTGCTTTTCGAATACACAATGTTCACAGAACTCCATATTTTCGGTACTTTAGCCACATAAGAGACCTCTTTTGCTGAGGATGGAAAGACCTTTTTCACTCATATGCCCCAATCGCATATGCCACAATTTGGTGATGTTAGAATCTGATTTATATTATATTAAAACTGCAGCAACACCTGTAACAGTAGATCCCAAAAGAGTATACAACGTACCAGATCTGCGTGCTTTCATGATCACAAGAGCACCATGAGAAATTTTCAGAACTCCACCTTCACCTGTGTACTTGCACCCAAGAGATTCTAGAGTGCCCAAAGAGATGAGATTTTTCTTCAAGTCAGGAATATGTCTAACATCGGTGAGAGTTCTCACCATACCATCGTGCATTTTGATTCGGACTGTACCTTTTCCAATAACTTTGCAGGCAGCATTGTTGCCCATCAAGACAACTCCACCTCCAATAGATTCATATGTGGTAAATAAATTATGATTGGGACACATATGATAAGAACAACCCGAATCTAAAATTCACTCATTGTTAGATTTGAAACTATTATTAGTTGCTAAAAAAATAGTTCCCTCAGTCTCATTAGTAGCTACACTTGCTTCGGCAATGTTAGTATTTTTGTGCTCATTTTTCTTTTCTGAATGCTTTTCTTTGTTTTTCAATTTAAAGCATTCAGAAATAATGTGACCTTTCTTATGACAATATTTGCACATGACATTTCTGTATCTGGATTTTGACCTTGATTTAGGTTTCTCACTACTTGAATCTTTCTTATTGGATCTACCTCTTATGAATAAGCCTTCCCCTTGGTTCCCACTAGTTTTCCCAGTAATATCTCTATCTATTTGTTCTTTTGATTTCAAAATAGATTTGATATCTTTATAAGAGATATTATCCTTTCCATAAAGCATAGTATCTCTTATATGTTTAAACGACTGGGGTAAGGAAACAAGCAATAACACAGCTTGATCCTCATCTTTGATTTCAGCATCTATGTTACTTAAATCCATAAGAAGAGAATCAAAAGTATCAAGATGAGTAAGTATAGAGGTACCTTCAGCCATACGAAAAGTGTAGAGTTTTTGCTTTAGGTAAAGCCTGTTTTCTACTGTTCTTTTCATATATAGGGTTTTAAGCTTTTCCCATATGCCTTTGGCTGAGCTTTCTGTTGTAACTTCATGCAAAACCTCATTTGAAAGATTTAAAATAATACCTGCTTTTGCTTTTTTGTCTATGACGACAAACTCCTCGTTCGTCATTTTATCCGACATCTTCTCATTTCCTTGCAGTGCCAAATCTAAGCCATCTTGAATTAGGATAGCTTCCATCTTTAATTGTCACATTCCGAAGTTTGCACTTCGGTCAAATTTCTCAACATATGACTTTGTTAGAGTCATTTTGGCTATTTAAACTAATCCGGTTAGATCTGGCTCTGATACCAATTTGTTAGGATCGGGTTACCGGGTAGTGCGAAATTTAACAAAACAACGTTATAATGACAATAACAAAAATAATGCAAGTTGATAATTACAGCAATTGGAGAAAATAAAGAAGACACAAATTTAACGTTGTTCGGTCAAGGTGACTTACGTTCACAAGCGGATAAGAGCAATTTTACTATACCAACAAGAGTACAAAAGAGAGTACAAAATTAGAGTAAATACTCTAATTAATCCCAAATACCGCAAGAGAATAGCCTCACAAGATCACTCCAAAGAAAGGGTTCATACAAGTGTTTCCCAACACTCACTCTCTTACAAAATACTCTATAATGAAATAAAGGAGGAGAAAGAAAAACAAGAGTGAAAAACTCTTGAATTGGTGTGTTTACAAATGAGGAGAAACTTCTCTATTTATAGTAAGAAATCCTTGGCCTAATAGTGGATATTATGTCATGGCTATGTCATGGCAAATGTCACGATCCACAAATTTATTATAGTGGATATTATGTCATGACAATTTGGCCCCCACCCGAGAAGAAGCCAAATTAATGGCCATATTGCAACAATTCGCATTCATGGTGCGGTATTCCCGTTCATAAATTCTATGTATCTTAATGTTTCTCCATTCTTTCTTTCCAATGTCATATAAGAACATGTGCGAAATCCCAGTATCTGAAATCGATACAATCTCTGCCTTATGATTGATAGTAAATACAGGGCGAGGAGATGTCTTTATTAACTCCGGTGGTAGCTCAACTGTATGCTTCAACCATGTCTCTGTTTCACTAGTACCATTGAGAACATATAGAAGAGTTCTATCAATGCCCAGAATTCTCTTGTCATCTATTAGTGCAAGCTGTCCCTTTATTTCTGCTATTTTTGGTATAGAACGTGGAGTTCGAATCAAACTAGGGAACGTGATCGTTCGAATTAACTTTTCGTTCCCTACAATACTGAACGCAGCAATGTGATCTCCAAATTTATGTTCAAGATAAATGACTCCATCAATACAAACACAATTGTTCATAGGGATAATTTCGGTCCAATTGGATATCTTCCTCCACCACTTGTCCACTACAATGGTGAAAATCCAGTACTTCGCTACAAGTTTTTCTTCAATAGAAGTTATGTCTGACATCAATATCTTATGTTTCTTGGTGGTGGGATCAAAACCAAAGGAGTAAGTAGAAATTGATGAAAGGACTTTCTCCCTAAGATATATTCTAGGAAGAAAGATATGTTCTTTTGTGAAAGGATTGCAAATAGCAACATCTCCCTCCCAGTTCCATAGACAAATTAGGCCGTTGATAGATTGCATATAGGGAAGAATACGAAAACATGGCTCATCCAAATACTCTATGGGACAAGCTAAATCTTGATATTCTTCTCTCTCGGATAACTTATATATAACTTCTTTTTCCGTCGAATTCACATGACTTACGAGGAATTGCGAGACGAAGGTTTTGTGATGTGCTTCAATGAATGAGGGTTCTGATATTAGAGAACAAAAGTATTTCGATATGCACCTGAAACGCATTAGAGACTTGGCAGGAACCCTTTTCATAATTTCAAACACGATCTCATTGGGAATATATAAGTTACCATTGGTAGTAATTGTTATGTCCCGCCAATATTGCTGTATTTGTAAAAAATAATTTTGAAAAATATAAGTTATTGTAATGAAACAATAATTAATTCGAGCCCACTGAATTCACAGTGTTTCCTTAAGGAATTTAACCCCCTCCTAGTACCCAAGGTTATGGATTATTTCCTCCCAGGATAGAACGAATCACACACTGGTGTAGTGGTACTTCAAACTCCAGTGTTTCAGCGAACACAAAGTTCGGTAGCAAATCACACTTACAGTTGCTTTGTTTGAAGTTAAAACAATGCAGAACAAAAGAGTAGAAACTCAAAAAATCTTTGTGGAGCAAGCACTTGGCCATGGTGGAAAGAGCATTAGGCGGCTGCTATTGCAGCTGGTGGTCAATACACGGATTGGAACATATCCGTTACAAATGCGGATAATCTTACATATCCGAAGCCGAAGCCGAGCCAAGCGAGCGACGACGGCGGCGCGAGGCTTGCTTTCTTCTTAACTCTTTAAGAGCAACAAGAAGAGCAATTATACATATACCCACCAAAAATCTTTTCCTGGGAAAACTTAAAATTTTACTCAAAAATTTTATTTTTCCCTCCATTTTCCATTCACCCTCATTTTAAAACTATTTCATCTTAAATAACAAAAACCTCAACAGTAATCTTGTTTTCTTCCATATGTATTGTTATGTAAAAAGTGAGAGCAAACTGATACAGAATTTAGAAATATATAAAGGTGTCTTTAAGTTTGACTAGGGTTTGTATTATTGTATATTAGGCTATGTAGGATACAAACGCTTATACAATTTTTTTTTGTTTCGTTGGCAATTAATATTTCTTTCTGTTAATGGTAAACGAATTTATTACTAATTTGTATTACTTAATTGGTGATTAATGATTTTATAACTGTGTTTCTAATTTCCATAAATGTTCTTGTTATGTACATAAATAGATACTGTATCGGGTATGGTACTATTTTCAACATGAACGGGGCTAATTTTCATCAACGTTTGAAGCCGTGGATATTTCTCAATGACAACACCAAAAAATGACCTGTCCGCACAAATTGAAGAATTAACCTAAATAGCCTTCTACCCAATCGCTTAAACTAAATATAACTGGTGGATATATAATGTATGTATAAATAATTCATGTATAATTTGTATATAACCATATATAATTAATATATAAATTATGTATACCATTGGTAGTAATCTTGTTTTCTTCCATGTGTATTGTTATGTAAAAAGTGAGCAAACTGGCAAACATACAGAATTTAGAAATATATAAAGGTGTCTTTAAGTTTGACTAGGGTTTGTATTATTGTATATTAGGCACAGGCGACGGGCTATGTAGGTTACAAACGCTTATACAATTTTTTCCTTTTGTTTATTTTTGTTTCGTTAGGCAATTAATATTTCTTTCTGTTAATGGTAAACGACCTTATTACTAATTTGTATTACTTAATTGGTGATTAATGATTTTATAACTGTGTTCCTAATTTCCATAAATGTTCTTGTTATGTACATAAATAGATGCTGTATCGGGTTGTCAGAGAGGAAAAGAAGAGTGGTTTTAGTTCATCAGTGGCAAATACTAAGGAACATGCAAACCAAAATGACCAAAAAGGTGTCCAAGGAAAAAAGAAACTGACTTCCATGGAAGCAGCTATCAAGAGAACTGCAGATAAATTAGCCACTGTATGTGTTCATTATGGTTGCATCTACCCGCTCGATCTCTTGCAGATTCTGATATTTATTTTTGAATGTTTTATATTTTCATGCCAGGCAATAGAAAAGAAAGCCAAGGCAGAGATGAGATGCCACAGCAACCTGATTTGGATAAAGAGGGAATAACTGAAGAAGAAAGATTCATGTTGTGGAAGATTGGCTTGAGAATGAAGCCTTTCTTACTTCTTGGTGAGTGCTTCTGTACTTCAAGCCTATATCTTTTGCCAAAATACTTATGGAAGTTGACTCATGTACTTCTGTGCTGATGCTCAGGTAGGCGGGGAGTTTTTGATGGAACAGTGGAGAACATGCACCTTCATTGGAAATATAGGGAATTGGTAAAGGTAATAACCGGGAGGAAAAGCATTGAGGAGGTAAACCAAATAGCTAGGATGTTGGAGGCAGAGAGCGGGGGAATACTAGTTGCTGTTGAGCGAGTAAATAAGGGTTATGTGATTATTGTGTATCGGGGAAAGAACTATGAAAGGCCTGATTCTTTGAGGCCTCAGACTCTTCTAAGTAAAAGAGAAGCAATGAAGCGTTCTATAGGTTAAGGTGAAGATTCCAGATATAATACCTCTTAATTTTAGTAGTTGACTTTGGCATGGTTTTAAAATTTGAAGTAGAGATTAAAATGGGGTTTTTGGTGGAAAAGGAAGGGTTCATGGTAAGTTTATCTGTGAAAGAATCCAACATCCAATCCAAAACCTTAAGGTTATGAGTGGAGTATCCAAGACTTTTATAAACCCCATTGGAAATTCTTGCACAACCCAAGCGCGACAACCTTATAACTCAAACACCCTCCTGTATGTGTAACCTGATTTGGATGCGATGATGGACTTACAAAGGTTAGCTCTGGTACTGTGTGGAAGAATCTGAGCATTGGAAGTCCTTATCCAACACAGACAACTATACAACTCAATATCTGGATTAGCTTAGGTGTTGGTATTTTGATGTATTATTTTGATAAAGGTGACTTTCATGCGTTTTATGCGTCTCTTTCTAATTCTTGTTTTCTCAACTAGTCATATTTGCTGGCACTTGATTTTGCAAATGTTTTTCGGCCTATTACTATCACTGTACTTCTAGCAATAAAAAAATAATAAAAGGGAAACAACAAAAAAGTATCAGCATATATTTCTGTAACACATATTGCAGTTGAAGTGCGGGTAAAACCATTTTGTATGACAGTTTGTAAGCTTCTCTACCCTTGTGAGTATTTCTTATTTCTCTTGATTTCGGTTTTCCTCTTCTTCTTCACTGGTCTTTCTTTCTGATGTTTCTGCCAAAACTTTTCCACTACATATATTTCTTTTTCTTTGTTTGCTGATGCAGTCGTTGAAATTGCATGTCTTAAAGCTTGCACAAAATATAGAGGTCTTGAAGTCACGGTTGGTGTGTTATCTTACCTTATCGGAGTTTGTTAGGATCGGTAACCCGGGTAGTGCGGAATTTAGCCGAACAACAGTATAATGACAATAACAAAGACAATGGAAGTTGATAACAACGGCAATTAAAGCATATAAAGAAGACACCAATTTAACGTGGTTCGGTCAAAGTGACCTACGTCCACAAGCGGAGATGACCAATTTCACTATACCAATAAGAGTACAAAATTAGAATAAATACTCTAATTAATCTCAAATACCCTAAGAGAATAACCTCACAAGATCACTCCAAAAAAAGGGTTCACACAAGTGCATTCCAATACTTAACTTTCCTACAAAACACTCTTACTAAAGCAAGAAAGGAAGAAACAAGAAATGAAGACTCAAGTCTTGTTGGTGTGTCTAAAATGAACTAATGACCTTCTCTTAGAGGCAAAAAAGTCTTGGCCTCTTAGGTGTAAAAGAAGAGATACAATTTGTGCAAATGATGTCCACCACACAAATACAATATTTTTGGGTCCCAAAGAATATTGCCAACAAAGTATACACAGTTTGCAAAGTTGCTATTTATGTGAGATGGACTCCATTATTCAAAATATTGGCCATATTAAGGAGTTGCTTCTTTTTTTATTTTCCGCTTACCAGCTCATTTCTTAATTATAGCTAAATGTCACACGATTTGCCTTGATTCAGACCAAAAGTGAGGAGATGATTCATATTCAGTCCTCGGATATAGTTGGTTGGCAGGTAGCTGAGACAGGAACATCTAATGCTGCAGGCGGAACCAATTATCAGTCTACTTTAGCAAGTCCTTGCACTTCTGAGGTAAAAATTCATGCGTAATGATAACAGTATATTCTGTTACTTAATGTTGAAGGAGCGTGTTATGTTTCCACTTGCTTCTCATATCTTTGATGCTTGTTTCATGTGAGATCCCTTATCAGCCAAAATAAGGTACAATAATCATTAAAAGGTCACATGAATCTGGAAGTGTCACCTTCAAAAATCTTTCAGATACTCCTTAGGCACAAACAACTTGCCTTCAAGATGTAGGCATCTTCTTTATGCTTCGCATAATCTATTAGGCCCAGATGTGTAGTTAATACCTAAGTTTAAGAGATGGAGGAATCTGGAGCTAAGCTTACTTGTGGACACATAGCCACCCACATTCTTATCTCCATGTATGAAAACTTGGTTGTAGAATCCTCTGTGTCATTGTCTTCTTTAGTCATACTTAACAATAGTTAACATAGCTGCCCTCATGACCCAATTTCATAGTGTAAGGAATTTGCTGTTCTTAACCTTTTCTATATGTTGTAGGTATTCCTGCTACCTAGCAACATATGTAATATCATTATAACACATAGCATTCCTTCTAGAATCATGCTGTTTTAGATGAATTTATATATCATAGAGCAAAGCTATAATGGTTACGGAATATGTTGAATATACTTGATGTCAGTCAAGTGTTAAAACTTTCATCTGCATGTGGTCCTGACATTCTTCATATTATCACCTTTTATTCCTTTGCAATGTGAATATTGAAAGAGAAAGGTTTATTTTAGCTTTTATATTCAGGATTGTGGGGATGCTGCAAAAGACACTGACCACAGTTCTCAGAAAGAATTACCAAGTGATTCCTCTTTCCAATATGAGAGCAAGGCTGAGGCTATGTCTGATACAATTCAACCTCAGCATCAATCTATTTTATCAACCAAAGAGTCGAAAAGTATGTTGAATGTGAATACAACAACAACCCAGTATAATCTCATTAGTGGGGTCTGAGGAGGGTAGTGTGTACGCAGAGCTTACCCCTATCCTGGGACAGAGAGGCTGTTTCCGATAAACCCTTGGCTCCCTCCCTCCAAGAACTCTCCACCTTGCTCTTGGGGTGACTCGAACTCACAACCTCTTGGTTGGAAGTAGAGGGTGCTCCCACTCTAGCAATCCCTCTTGTCAATGTTCAATGTGAATGTGGATGCAAAAGCATTCAGAAGTGCAGTCAGTGAATCTGTTTCTAAGTCTTCCAGGGTAAACTTCGTTTTCTCTTCGGAATTATTATGCTTTTTTTTTCCCTCATGAAGTTAATGGTATTTTTTCCGTGTGCTTTTCTCGCTGATTTTAGGGAGAAGTTAAAGATTCACTTTTCTGAGACCAGAAGTTTCAATAAACCTCGGGAAGTTGACAGTAGAAAGGAGGTGTCTGAAGTTGATTCTGTCAAACCTCAACAAGAACTCAGATCCACCAGGAGTAGGTCCGAAGCGATGCCTCCCAAAAAAGTACATCTTTCCAACAGGGAGAGGCTGCTTCTCAGAAAACAAGCCCTCAAGATGAAGCCTACCAGCGCTTGCTGTTGGTAATATGAGTGAAGGATTGCATAGAGTTTTTCATATCACGCAGCGCAGCGAAAGACAATAACAATCCTAGGCAGATTTTTTCGTGTTTAAAATTTATTTTGCAAGTCAAAGATCGGATCTAAGACGTACCTTGTGAAGAGAGTTTCGTTTTAAATTTCTTCCGAAGACGATATGCGTATCCACACCGAGACTGATTCTTGCGCTATCAACTCTTTAATCAATAAAATCCCGCGAACAAATTGAATGAAAATATTGTGTTGAAATTTTTCTCAAAAATCTCAACTTAAAGGTAGAAGAACAGGAAATAATTTTCTTGTACTAGTATTTTTTATCTTGGCTTTGTATTGCACTATTACTTTCTCAAATCAATTTTCTTCTCAATAATAACTCTCTTGGTTTTTATATAACTTTACAATATGTGTAAGATCTATATCACCCTAATTCTTAATTATATATACACATAATTTTCATTGAAAAATACAAATCACATGCTTTATGGTAAATATTAAAAAAATATGTAACTAATTTATGGAATTCGATTCTAAATTGAATTCTAAAACTTAATTAGTCATACTTTTAAAAATAAAAACATGCAACTCATTTATGGAATTCAATTCTAAATTGAATTCTACAAATTAGTCA